TTACATGCATGTAATCCTCCCCCATTTATGGGTGTAACTGAGGGCACAGAACCTAGCTATTACATGCTGCCAAGAGTAAATATATTAGAACTAGTCAAGGGCTAGACTGAATTTCCTTGGTGTAGTCGGTAGACTGCCCTCTTTCTTTAGTCTGCAGCAAATGCCGGTATCCAATTTATTCACCTCTGATAGGCCATTGATTTATAAACAGCAGTGCAGGATTGCCATTATTAATAAAAAAAATAGATGTTAGATTGTTTGGGTCTGGCTATTATTAATAAACAGCAGATTAAAAACCCCACCCTACAAAACTTGGATGCATTTTAGATCTTAATCTAATCTTAGGCTACATCTACACTACACGGGGGGGTCGATTTAAGATACGCAAATTCAGCTACGTGAATAGCGTAGCTGAATTCGACGTATCGCAGCCGACTTACCCCGCTGTGAGGACGGCGGCAAAATCGACCTCTGCGACTTCCCGTCGACGGCGCTTACTCCCACCTCCGCTGGTGGAGTAAGAGCATCGATTCGGGGATCGATTGTCGCGTCCCGACAGGACGCGATAAATCGATCCCCGAGAGGTCGATTTCTACCCACTGATTCAGGCGGGTAGTGTAGACCTAGCCTTAGGCTCTGATGTTGCAATAATATCCACTAGCAGGATAGGGGCCTCTGCAGCCAGCTCCTGTCTCTTTCATAGGATGAACCAACCCAAAACATGGGATCTGAACTCCCTCTCTGCTTCCCACCTCCCCACTCCCTCCAGCCAAAAAAATAGTGGGGAAATTTAGCTCTTTAGCCAAGGTTTTTTTTACTATATAATTATCCCAAAGAACTTCAGAAAGATGAATTAACCCATGACACCCAGTGAGGTAGGTATGATGACAAACCATTTCACACCAGGAGAAACTTGCAGGCACAGTTTACAACATGGCACTGTTACAAACAACTGGGCTTGTTTGCCTGGACTCTGAGGATCTGTACTGATGAGCATCTTCTCTTCATCCCCTTCTTTCTACTTCTGTCTCTTATACTGCAAAAAAACAAACCACACGTGATACAGGGACACATTCAACATAACCATTCACACAAGGAAGGATTCTTTTTGGTAAAACCCTTCCAAGCACTAACGTTCAGGACCCCGTTTCTGAGCCACCTAAGGCTGTGTGAATTCCTTTGAACCTTCACAGAGTAAAACGCCGGGACTTCCCCTCT